GCATTATTAGACTTAGTGTGCCAGCTCTATAACAGTTCTGGACAACGTTATTTACATAACAAAAAAACTACATATCAGAAAATTACACGCAAAGGTCTGAAATCTTCCGGAAGATGGTTCAATTATATTATGGCATGCCAATGGCATGCCCATAGTATGGCATAGCATAAATTTTGGCTAATGGCATGCCAAATTTTTTTGCTGTGCCACACACCCTAGTTACACCTAGTTTTTTTAATGGAAATAAACAACCAATAAAAACTTAAACATACTATATATATATATATATAATTTAATATACAGTACGTATAATAATATTTGGACAAATACAGAAAAAAATAAAAATTGAGTACGTAGGGCAACTCGCCAGAGGCGTAACTATGGTGATTTGGGTTTTGCAATAGTTAACCCTTATGTATTCCTTTCCCGCACATGAGTCGTAACCAATCGTGTTCGATGTTACGCCCTTTAAATAACTTCTTGGATGTATGATTAAAAGAGGTTTGAGAATTCGATTAGAATTTCAATACATTGCCATGCATTTGTTGATTCGGCTAATATTATCAATTCGGCCGACGCAGTTGTATCTTTATTTTCGAAAATTCCGTCACAATATTTATAGTATATACGCACCATTCTTAGCATGGCAGAATTCATCTGTCCAAGACTCCCAGCGTGAAAATCTTATTATGTTATGTAATACAAAATTTGAAAAAAATTTTATCTAATAAATTTATGAAAAAAAATAACTTATTTACATTTGAAAAAAGGAAAAACAATGTATGTTTATATATTTATATATTTAGATGATTCCCCAATTTTCACTAGCATTACCAATATATAGCACGATGGATTTCCTGAAAAGTTCACATCGACACCGGAATCTTGCGATGTTCGATGATTAACATTGGAAAATATCGGAGCTGCTGGTACGAGGACTACGTATAGTATTTTCATTCTCATAGTTTAAAAAGGTGCGAATTGTGTGATATGATTATAAACAAGTGAAAAAAGAATTCATCTTGCCCGTGTCCATCGTATCCATTGTTCATGAGTTTCTTTCGAAACAATAAAGATCTTAGAGAGTTATTTGCAGATTGTAGCCTCTGAAGATTTTGTATTTGACAGATATTTACTGAACTCTGTTTGCACAACTGATTGGTTAACTAATGTTGATCAGTTAGTTTTTATTTATTTCTATTTGTTAGTTTCAGCACCATTCCTGACATGAAATAATTCATCTGCCCAAGACTCCCAGCGCATGAGCAGGCGAAAATCTTATTGTTATGTAATACAAAATTTTGAAAAAAATTTTATCTTATAAATTTAATGAAAAGAAAATAACTTATTTACATTTGAAAAAAAAGATAGAAAAAAACGATATGTATATATATATATGTATATTTATATATTTATATATGTATTTATATATTTAGATGATTCCCCAATTTTCACTAGCACCACCAATATAATCATTATAAGAAGAAAGAATTGGCGGCATATAGCACGATGATGGATTTCCCGAAAAGTTCACATCAACACCGGAATCCTGCGATGTTCGATGACTAACATTGGAAAATATCGGAGCTGGTACATTTACAGGAGTTGAAATTTCAGGACTATAAATATCTTCATCCTCATAGTTTAAAAAGGTGCGAGTTGTAATGTGATTATAAATAGGTGAGAAAAGAAATTCATCTTGTCCGTGTCCATCGTCCATGAGTTTCTTTCGAAACAATAAAGTTCTTAGAGAGTTGTTGGCAGGTTGTGTAGCCTCTGAAGATTTTGTATTTGACAGGTATTTACTGAACCCTGTTTGCTGTGGAGCTGGCGAAGCACACGTTTCAGTAGGAGGATGATATTCTATGGTTGGTATTGACAGATATAAATCTGCACATTGAAGTTTGAGAGAAGGTCTCGATTTGTGGTGGATTTTAGTGGGTGATGTTTCTTCAGAATCTTGGGGTGCTGTGAGGACTATACTAAGCGGTGAGCCAGTTTTTACTTGTGTGTTTTTAGAGTTAATAAATTCTTGTGAATGACCAAGTAAAGTTGAGCTCATTTTAAATGTTACAAATATGCAAAAAAGGAATGGTACTGAATAAAGTTTTTATATTTTTGTTTCCGATAATTTTTTTTTGTTTCTTTTTTTTGAAATACTCAAAGGTGAAGCGACCTCAAGGCTTTAAATATTTTTCTAACCACTGCGATTTATGATTAGCATGACTGATTATTTGTTTCACATTTGTGGACTGAATTTTCTAAAATTTCACCAAAATTTTATTGAAGTTCTCAACTTGTTAATGCTATTTTTATTTGCGTGCATACATGTTTTTTCATGCATGTACGTACGTACGTACGTTACGTGGCAAGTTACGCGAGCTTTTTAAAAAGGTATTGTACGATTCTTAAAAAAGGTATTGTGAAACATTAAAAGACAAAGCACCTATCAATTTTGTGCCGATTTCAAGTCTTAACCTAATTCTAACCCAAACTAATAAACTATAACTCCAGATACTCCTGTTGTACTCGTTACGTACAATCAGCCATATCATCAGTTATATCTAAGTAAGATTACTTCGTGACAGCGACTTGGGAGGCGAGTATTTTAGAGATAGACAATGGCAGAGTATTTACGGACACCAACTTCCCCAGTATCGTTATCAAAAATTGACCAATAAATGGAAAATTCTTTTCAAAAATCATTTTATCTTTTGACAACCTTTATACGTAATAAACTATTTGTTTTAATACGTAGAAAGATTTTCTTAATATATATTTTGCTAATTATCCGGAGGATTTTTAGATAGATAATCATCAATTACTATATATATCAACCAATATATTTATTTATATTTTTAACTATGCTCCGGATTAACAATGCTAGTATGTGACTGTAGTACATTTGTATTAAAAGATTTTAATAAAATTTCGCGCCAAGATAAACAGGCACCTTAACATCCAAAATAAATAAATAAATAAATATACAGTATTGTAATAAAAATTTGATATTAGTTACTGATATAAAAATAAAATTTTTGATAGTTTTTTTTAAAGTAATAAAATTGAATTAAATTAAATAAAAAATTTATTATTATAAAAAGTAATTAATTTTCACAATACTTAAATTTTTTTTGATATTAAAATAAGGTCTTGCTTATATCTTTATTAGTAATATTTAAAATAGTAACTATATAGAGTTGCTAATTTTTATATACAGTATACCAAAGCAGGCCTACCAAATAATTGATTGTGGGGGCAATTAATTGCAATTTTTTGAACTCAATTAATTGATTGGTGGTGCAGCCACAATGAGTCAATTAATTGCAATTTTAGGTGTGATGAATCATTTGCGTGACAAATAAGAATTCACTAGTGCAATTAATTAGTAAACTGTATTTGTCACATATCATGATTCATCGCATTCAAGTGGCAAATGGCAATTAATTGCAATTAATTGCAATTATTCGTGTTTTACAATTGTTGTTTATCACAATTGTAGCCAATTTTAATTGTGGTATAATTTAATTGCAATCAATTATTCAGCACCCCTATACCAAAGTACAGTCTAATTTCTCTATAGTCATGCCCTCGGTTTCAAGAAATTCTGTGCTTATAAGAAATTGTAACTGTTAGAGGTCAAATTTCTTATGTTTTATATATATTTGTTCTAAAATTAGTGTGCTTATAAAGAGGGTGTGATTATATGGAGAGTGACTATAACAGCTGGAGAACACTTCTGCTATAGGTTATAAGGCAGCATAAAGTTATGGGGTGGTGTGATTGTGGTGGATAGTACAGAATAGGGTAACCAAGAATGTATTATCTAAATACCTAATAAAAATAAATTTAAATAGTTAAAATATAATTTAAATTTTATTTAAAAACAAATCAAAATTAATTTTTTTAGTAGTATAATTTATTGGATAAATCTGGGTCTCACACCCCTGCGTAGCACTTAAATCTCACTTTTGGGATGCGATAAACTTATATATCGCATATAAAAAAAGTATAAAGCAGTTTCACTAAGCCCTGCTAAAATATACTATTAATGTTATTACACCGTTCACTTTATAAACAATATGATTGATCAATTTTGATTTATATGATTCTTGAGACCAGTTCCCAGAACGGGCAGGCCCGTCTCTAATAATCATTACTAGAATCTACTAAATAACCTATTCGCTTTGCACTTAGGCATGGATATATAGACGTGTCAGTTAGCTAGTTTTCTCTAATGCCCAACTATAATGCTAACGACAAACAGTACTAATCAACCCTAACTCAATAAAAAACTATGTTTAAGGTAGCATGTTAATGCATAATGGCCGGAATAAAAAAACCAGGGACACCCTTAGAATAGACCTGGGTTTGTAAACCCAATTGTATGTATTACATAGTGTCCACGCTAAATTTGTAAACCGTCTAACCTTAAAATTGCTAGTATAATACACGTGATTTAATTCAATCAATGATTGTGATACCAATACATATTACAATAGACGTACGTAGTAATTTTTCATGCTCTAATTGCTACTAATTTTACGTTTATTATACGTATTATTTAGAACCTGAAGAGATCGAATTACAAGATGATATGCTGTCGCTCTAATTTATACCTCTTCCACCTCTTTCTGTACTGTCGTTATTTGCTCTTATTCTTGTGAAAAGCCGCATTGTGGCCCACTCTATTGCAAATGCGATATTTATAAGATCCTCTACTCTTAGATCTGCCCCGGTGGCCTTGTTCTTTTTCAACACTACTGATATACCTTTGCTTGGGTGGTCGTCCTTTAGTAATTACTTTGTTCGGATTCTTTACATTATTAAGGTTTGTCTTATTCATATGTTGATCTTGTTCAGCTTCAGATTTCTCTGATTGATCACTAGTTTCATTCGTTTGAATTTCCATAGAATTATCAGATACCTCATCATTGGCGGACCTTTCATGATTTTTATTACATTTTTGGTCGATGTAGGCTTGAAGATAGGCAACAATTCCATTATCATTTTGTTCAACTGCAAGTAACATAGCCTCTCTTGCTAGTCCCCACACACGGCCATACAAATTTCTTTTATGAATAGATTTTTTAACCGTTAGGACAGTTGATAGAACCGTGGCAGGTTTTCGTCTTGGTAAGATTTCTTTGTTATTAAAAATGCCCATTTCATAACTAATTATAGTACTTTCTTTTTCCGGAATTGACGCATCTTGGTGATGGTCTTTGTACCATCTTCGAGGTATTATACTAATGTGAAATGCTATGATTTTTGAGTGCATCATTACACGAAAATAGTGGCGACATATGATTCCTTTTGAGATGGACATTAGGCAAGAGCAGAGGAAGGATACTGCGTTGACAATGACAACAAAATGTACGTGATGTCTTTTTTCATTCCGCATGTCCGTAACTTTCCATACTTCTAACACTTCATCCTGCCCCACTTCGTCAATAATTGCCTGGAGTGTGATAAAGCGTGCATCATTTTTGTCTTCGATAAATCCGTCAGATGTTAGTTGAGTACTTTCTTTTGTAATATAGAGTATACTATTAGTTAACTTGAATTCTATTTTAACATTGTGTATTATTACCTGTTCATTATATAACTCTTCAATGCTAGGTTCGGTCTTGTTTGCACTAATAAATAAGCACTGTGTCATTTCTATTTTAATTGCATTGGCAATAGGTTCAGTGAGATACTTATTAATAACTTTTACTAATTCGGGAAACAAATCTTGCCTAGGAATAGAAATAGTATTCGTCGTAATAGCATGTCTGTAATCGCTAATCTGACTCCACTGTACTTCTTCTTTTAATCTTGCATCAAGCTGCTCTGCAAGCTCATATAATGTACTGTTTGCTTTCAACTGTTGTTTGATGACCCAATTGTAACTTTCGACCTTTGCTGTACTTTCAATGCCCGCCGTAAATATTCTGTAAAGATAAGCCTGGGCTCACGAATGACTCCTCGGTTCCAACACATGTAAAAGATAGTCTTTCGCTACTGGGAAATCGTTGAGTAGTTTATTCCATCTTTCTTTAAATAATGGTTCACATAAGCTATTACGGCATCTATAAAACTGTTGAATAAAATTATCCCAATTAACACCCAATTTCGCTTTTAGGTTTTTAGGTAAGTTTTGCGCTATATGAAAAATGCAATGTGCTGAATGTGTTTCAGGAAAAACAATTGGAATTGCGGTATCAAGTGCAGGATCTCCATCAGTGAACATAACAATCGGGGCCTTTTCTACGGCTTTTTTAATTCGCTCAAGTATCCAAACGTGCGTATCAACAGTTTCATTGCTCATTAGTACTTGACAAACAAGACGGGTTTTACACTTGTTATCAATTACTACAAAGATTCCAAGCGGCATTTGATATTGATTGGTCCGGGATGTGTTGTCATTAACAACAACATCATAGTACCTTAGCCAAAGATCCACCTGGTTTGGTGACATTCAAAAAAGACGAATTAGATGATTGTCCTCATCCAAATCGAAATCAACAACTCAGTGTGGATCATCTAACTTTTTTTGTATCAAATAAGTAAGTAAAACTGATGCATCATTACTAATTTTAGTTACGTTTTTTGCTTTTTGAATCGCATTCGCTAAGTCTTGGTCTTGAAAATTCAGGTCCGGAAATCGAGCCTTTAGAAGACTTTTTTGCACCGTTAGTGACAGATTGCTATGCCTTGTCATTATGTTTACTTCGTCAAGTGCCTCATTAGATAATGTTCTATATTTTACTCCAAAATTTTGTGTTTTAGGAACAAGGGTATGGTTATGCCTATTAACGAATGTTGTAACTGAAATTTGCATGGCTCGTTCCGGAATAGATAAGTTGATATGCTACTGGCAATTCACCTTCTTGGTTTTCATATTTCTTTGTGTTCCGTTTAAGGCTGCTTTAATTGTTTTTTTAGATTTGTACTTTCTACTAAATTCACATACTAAGGTCTTTTTATGAATTTGATCTGAGTTGTTTCACTCCATCCGATATTTAGTAACTGCAAACCCATTTCTAGTGCCATATGCATTAAAATAGTCTTCTACTTCTTCTCACGAATTAAAACAAATGTCCTTAGGAATATCCTCTGAAGCAACTATAAGTGAACCTATTGATTTTAGTTTGTTAGTTTATTCATGTTGGCTTGTATCTGTATGCCGCCAAAAGAAAACCAAACCCGGGTTCTTGAGTTTGTTAATTATCTATATTTGCCAGCAAACCTTTTGTGCTTGGATTTAGGAATTAAAGCTAGACTTCAATATGCCTGGGTTGGGTTTAGGGTTTTGGGTTGGGTTGGGTTGTTATAATCTTCAACTTCATCAAATTAAACCTTGATTCAGATTCTACTCCGGGCTGCTCCAGACCTGCTTCAGGTTGCACCAGGTCACACCAAATTTATAAACATTGTTTAATTTGGCTGGGTTCAACCTGAAGTGGCTCCGGAGTATATTACTCTTTAATACAATATGCCGGCAAGTATAGTTATGCAACACACATCATCGATTAGACTTTTCCGGAACTGAGTTGGTAAGTTGCAAGGTCTGGTTTTATTTTGGCAGTGCTCACTTCAGGTACTTACTATTATCTTCGTTACTTTCATTGTGTTCAATGTTTTCTATTTGTATTGTGGGAGTATTATTTAACTCTTCAGAGGCATGATTTTTGAATGTAACTAGGGTATTTGCTGATAAGCTTCGATTGATAATATAATAAGTTTGCTTCTATATGACTTACGATATTTTTCAATTAATTCACTAATATCACATTCAATAAGGTCATTTGGGTTTATTTCCAAAAGTCTTTGATTTGGTTCCATTTAACGAACGATATTTGATTGTTTTAAAAGGTGTTCTTAATTGGATTTTTAACAATTTGTTTTCTGATTTAATTTGTGATTATTTAGTTTCACAATACAATTACAATTCTTATTTATATTAGAGGCTTTTTGATTAATAAATTTAAGGAATGCGATGCTGTTATATCTCGCTCCATTCTATATATATAAATTATGCATCTTTAGCCAATTAGATTTTACATTTATATGTAATGCTAGATTTAACTGCTTCATGCCCTGCTAGATAAACATTTATTCTAATTTATTAATAAGAAAAGGTTTGTATTTATATATAATTAATTTTATATGCTTCAATTTTTAAAATTTAAATTAGAGTTTTTTAGATTTTTTTAAACTTTAAAAGCAAATAACTTTTAATTTATAAGTTTTTAAATTTAGTTCTTTGGAGTTTGGGCTTTGTAGCTTATTGGTTAAGCTTCCTAATTCAAGTCAGGCTAAAAGCAAAATTTAATATATGTTTCTGTAACCTTTAGAGACCAAATTGAATGCAAAGCCTGTAATCAAGTTTAAATGCAGTATACAACTAAAATAAAAATTTTCAAAAAGAGACCCAAGATATGAAATAAATAGCACTATATATAACTATAATGTTATAAAAATTTTGATTATAGTAATGATGTGAATAAATTCTTTGAAACAAGGCAGCATCAATATTCTTGTATCTTTAGTTTAAGCAATATCAACATCTCTACATCCAACTTGTAGAGTACTTGTTTAAAAAGGTGGTCAATGAATTATACGAATAAGTCTTTATTTGAATTCTTAGAAGTGTAGTTACTAATAACCAAAGTTAAAGTAGTAAAGAAAATAATAAATATATATAGTCTGTAGTAAAAGATTGGTCTTATTAGAAATATAATACAATTAACTAAAGTTACTATAAAATGTTAGAACATGGAGATAGGCTAAACTTCTTTGTATATATATAGAACATAGAGGTAGGCTAAACTTTCTTGTATATATAAAGAAATTAAATCAGGCAATAATTATATCTATATAGAAGTTTATAGACAAAAAAGGATTTATTTTATTTTATTTTTTTTTTTTGATATTAAGGTAGGATCTTGCCCATGACTTTATTTATTAATAATACTTTACATGTATCATCACATTTTTCGTATTATATATATTAAGTATACCAAACTCAGACCCGGATCCTATTGGTAACCTACACTCTGGCCAAAACCATTACTTGCACGATAGGTGTCTCCATCCGCTACCGGTCACCGATCCAATTATCTGCGATTCAAACCTACCAGAGTGGTATGTCATCATCGACCTATTCACCTGGTATTTTACCACTTTTTACAAGTCCTATTTCGGTATACTTCCTTATAACTACATTCTCTGCATTACTTATATCACTTATATTCAAGCTTCCAATTTGGTAATCCTCTTTATAGAAAAGCCTCGTAGTCTAATTAGGCTACTTCTAATCTTGGTAAACCTCAGCTAGCCTGCTCAGGTGAGTTTTACTAGTAGGCTCCATGCTGACCCAGGTTAAGCCTCTGTTATTAACGTCTAATTTAGTTAGTATGCTTGCTAATCCCCATTATCACATTAGATAGATACTTCCATATATTGATGCGAGTTCGCTATATTGTGTTACAAGTTACTTTATAACTCCCAGATAGCGGTTTTTTGTATTACTTCACTTCCATAAACTGACGGATTGGATACTATTTAGTAATTATGATATTCTAGTATCCTGATATTTTAGATTACAAGGCACTAGGGGTATAGACCTAGTTTAGTTTGCAGTCCGTAATACTCCCAATTAATCTTGGTATCCTTTGGTTTTTCTGATATGCAAGCTCTATTCGTACAATATACTACCAGCCCAGTAAATCCAGCCATTTCAAGTTATTACTGCGTACCCTGAGTTTCAGCCTACTTACTCTGTTGTTATAGGGTCTTTCCCTAATAGGCCAAGTGGCTTGGAGCCAGAGGTGCTTCCAATTCTAGTTGGGCCAATTCTTTTTCACAAATCGTCCTTGTGTTCTTCACTTTTTTTACTACTCTAGTTATGTTACTATCGTATCATACTCCCAAGTAAGTACTCCACAAGTTGGATGCAAAGATGTTGGTGCTGCCTCGGTCACCCTAATCAAGGACTGATATGCGCAACCTTTTGTGTAACAGAACCTTTTATGACTCAGTGTTATGCATAGTACCACCACTCCACAATTGGACCTCCTTCTGGAAATTCCCTTTTCTAGTTTCGTACTTGCACTTAGACTTAATCACAGAGTTCCGCATTCGATTATAGTCTCCTTATAAGTTATAGAAGTGAAAAATCCTAAGATTTTGCCTCCAGCTCAACTCAAACTATCAATCTAGTCTGTGGGGGTTTGGCAGCTTAACCACTAAGCTATAGGGCCCAAACTCTGCATAAAAGAATTTAGGAATATATTAACAATAATATTTATATATATTTAATAGCTATATACTGAAAGTAAAAATCAAGATAGTATAATATTACTAATATCAAAGTAAATCTCTGAATACAATCAGAATTGTTTTGTGCTATAATGTATTTTGGCTGAAAGCTTATACTATATAGTAGTATAGTATTACTAGAGTTAGTGAAACTCTCTATATATAACTAGAATTGTCTTAAATATAGTTTAGTTTCTTTACTATAGTAGGAAGTATAAACTAGAAGTTTGGTAATACCAAATTGCTATATAATAAAATAAAAAATCTGAAGCATCTACTTAAAAAAATAGCAGCAGCAAGGGTATGGTGACTTAGTGAAGTGGTGAAGTTGTCACACTCCTAAGTGGCAAGACCAGAGTTTGAATCCCACTGGCAACAAAAATTCGAATTCTTAGTACAGTGTTACGACAACTGTGAGTGTAAAAGCAGATTGACATCTGTAACTAGGTCATACCAGCTCGTACTAGGAGACTGTGGAACAATAGTGTAATATACAAATTACATGAAATCTGAGTAAAGCAGTTATGTAAATCTAAGGTTGATACACATAGAAGCCCACTTGGCAAGACCCAAGTAGAGAGATAGCACAGATCTTCAATGATACTATGTAAAGGATTATTACCAGGATATCAAAGAACCAAACGGAACCAAAGTGTTTGGCAAGGCACTTCACCAACCAGGCCGCTAGAGAGTAACCAGAGGAAAAGGACCCAATCATGGGGATCAAGAGCAGGTCACAGCCTTTCTGGGCCATCTGGATTGGAAGTTTGAGATAACGGGTATACAGGGGATAGTCCATATAGTGGGTGCTGGGGTTTGGGTAAACTTTGCAAAGGCACAGAGTAGGTAATGGTAGTGGAGGTAAAAAGCCACAAGTACTTGGTCTCGGCCTAGGTATAAGTTACCAAAAATCTAGGTGATACATGTATGAGACATGGATCGCTCTAGTAGGTTTATCACGAGGATAAAGGACCCCCCCTATATAGAAGTGTGTGTCCGCTTTAAAGTCCTAAGGAGCCTTCTCAGCAGTTCCTCTTTGAGAAGAATATCCAACGGCGCTAAGTTGATCAGAGGGTTTAAATAAATAATCCCCTTAGTTGGGTTATAGGTATAGTATCTAGTGTAGTTCATATGAGTTACATATGCAAAACTGCTTAAATAGACAACCAAAAGTTGTATATATGGCTAGTTGTACACTCATTAATGTAACAAAGTCAGGAGTAGCCTAAATGAGTTGCTCTGACATTTGAATCAAAGTTTAATAAAACATGCCAGACCTCTAAGTGGTCACCTTAATATTAAAAAAAAAAAAAAAAAAATAGCAGCAGCAGAGGCTAGCTTGAGATATAGATTAATAGTACTTAAGTAAATAAATAGAAGAACTTATTGTAATATTAACTCTGTTATATAAGAATCTAACTAAGCAACAGTTCTTAGTTTGAGATATAAATTCTTCTGTAAATTCTGAATACATATCAAAATACTTTAAAAAACTAATAACAAACACATTAAACTAGAAGATTATAAAGATCTATAATCTGAAAGTTACTAATTTAAAAGTTGTATAATGTTACAAGGTTGTAGCCTTCTTAGTAAAATACAACCAAGTAACAAGGTCACCCAGTGCAGTGATTGACTTTTGCAAATATACAT